GCCTGAGCCTTCAAGTTCCTCCAGCCTCTACCTACTGCCCAGTTCTGAACCACTTCCACATTTTCAGGTATTATATAACAGCCTCTTTCTTGGTACAAAATTTCTGTCCTAAGCCTTTTTTGCGCTGCTATAACAGAACATGTCTGGCATTGTCAGCTGTGGTGACACACAAATAGCTCCACCACTTAAGAAGCTACAAGTCACATGCCAGATCCAGATTTGGTTCCTGAGCCAACCTGAACACACTAGGTATGGCTGCACACTCCCATGATTCTAATTGAAAGGCTAGGCAGAAGGACTACAACACTCAGTGAGACCCTGCCAAAAAGATCTATCTTGACTCAGCTGCTGTGGCACAGCAGTGGCACAGTTTACCTCCAAGTGTGAGATTCATGTGGTTGACTCTGGGTTTGGATCCCTGGATAGACTGGAAAACGTGTTGGGCACATGTAATAAGTGCACTCAGGATTCTGTGGAGCTGGAAGGCTGAGGAAAGACTAGAAAGTGACAAGATTTTGTCAAAGGTGCTTGTCTTTCGTGCTCATGTATATGTTATCATTAAAAAAACACAAACAAAAATACTGTCTCTTCCTTTCACTCTCTTTCTCAGGAAATGAAAAAAAAAAAAAAAAAAGAAAGAAATGTATTGGCTCATGGTTCCTGAGGCTGAGAATTCCCAAATCAAGGGTTTGCATCTAGTGAGGGCCTTCTCGCTACATCATCCCATGGTAGAAGGCAGATGGGTGAGAGAATACCTGTGAAAGAGTGAGGACGACTGCTCAAACTCATGCTTTTATCAGGAATCCACTCCTGTGATAACGGTGTTATTTAGTTCACCAGATTCAGCCTTCGGAACCTAACAATGTCTTAAAAGTTCTATCTTGGGGCTAGCAGGTGAAATGGAGGTTAAGCAGGCTGGATCCCACAGAGCTGATTGGGTGGTCTGAGTCTGGACTTGGCGGCTTGAAAATCACATTAGACATGTGTGCGTGCGTGTTCAAAATCCCAAGAAGAGAATGAAGGAGAAGGGATTGTGGTGTGGCCATCACCCCTAGGGTGGGAGGTGACTTCCTACTTTTTCCTCTTTCTCTCTCTGCCTGGTGAGCACATGCACCCTATAGCAAACTAAAAATTTTTAGAATATTAATACATATTTTTTAAAAGGTCCTATCTTTTAGAATTAAGTTTCTATTACATGAACTTGGGGGACACATTCAAACCAAAGTAGGTATTAATAAAAATTTTTGAGTGTACCATTTGTTCCCCGAATGACTTGGAGATAGCATCAGACAAGCATGTTTCACAGTTAGAGAAGCATTTTAAATTTAGATCTGCTGTAATTATTAAACTTTTAAATGTTAAATGATTATTAAAAATAGTATTGCCTACTTTTTGAAAATTGGAAATAGAAGATAGAAATCGGAAGAAAAATAAAAGGCCAAAATGTTAAATGATTATTAAAAATAGTATTGCCTACTTTTTGAAAATTGGAAATAGAAGATAGAAATCGGAAGAAAAATAAAAGGCCAAAATGTTAAATGATTATTAAAAATAGTATTGCCTACTTTTTGAAAATTGGAAATAGAAGATAGAAACCGGAAGAAAAATAAAAGGCCAAAATCCTAATACCTAAAGATAATCATCAACATTTTATTCATTATTCTGCAGTTCTTTTTCTAGATTGTTTTTAGTGTTGACATATTCAGAAGTACTTTACATTGGCTTTTTTTTTTTTTTTTTTTTTTTTTTTTAGGGGTTTTTTTTAAGGGGGGTGTTTTTTTCCCAAAAACAAAGGGCGTGTGTGCTTGCCAGAAAGACAGAGACAGAGAGAAAGAAAGTGAGAAATCATCCCCTGGGGGTGTGGGGGGAGGCCATTCCACAATCCCTTCTCCTCCATTCTCCTCTTGGGATCTTGGGCACGCATGCACACGTGCCCAGCGTGAGTTTAAGCCACCGGGTCTGGGACTCAAACCGCGGTTGACTACATGTGAGTCCAGCGACATAGCCATTACACTAACTGCTAGTCCCCCTACATTGGATTTTTGAAAGCTGGTAGTAAACTGTTAAGTATAGGAAGGAATTTTTCCCAGAGGAATTTCTGTGCTTATAGGTTTACTCCCATCATAAGGAAAAACATTCATAATAAAATAATTTGCTATTATGATTTATCCAGCTGTTATTGTGAAAAGGCAATGACCCCTTCACATTCTTAGAAGTTCCTTAGAGATTTCCTTTAACTCTTGGTCAGAATTACTTATTCTTTTAGCATTTTTAAAGATGGGAACAAAGCTGAGATGTTTTCTGACTCTTCACATGTCTGAGATTGCCATTTTGCATCTCAGTCTTTGCTTCCCAAAACTTTTTTCATTGTCTTTTAGTTTTTATTAGTAATGAATAACTGTGATCTGAGATCACTAATAATTTTTGTTCCTGTATAAGTAAACCTGTTATTTTATTTTATTTTTACTATAGGGCATGTGTGAAAGAGAGAGAGAGAAACAAGCCCAAAAGGATCATTGTGCCACGATCCACCCTCCAGCCTCAACCAGATGAGATCGTGGGCATGTGTGTACGCACTTGGTGTGTACAGGGAGGCCCTGGGACTCCTGACCTTCCCATGGGATCCAGCATCACAGAGCACTGTGTTACCACCGTGCCAGTGGGTGGCTCCACTGTAACTGTTTTTAAGAGTATAGTTTAGTGGCATTAAGGACATTCACACTGTTGTGCCACCATCAAGAATTCCCTTTTAAATTGCACATGCATTTTGTTCTTTTTGGCTCAAAAACATTTCTTAAATTCATTAAGTAGCACTTATTCACTAGAGCACCTATCAAATGCTAGTCACTGTTTTGAGCACTGGTGAATTTATTTCTGGTTATTACTTTTATTCCGTATTTCCTGGCTTTGTCCTCAGGAATTCTGTATCTCAGAGGACATAGGTTTCTACTCTGCTTTCCTGTTCTTGGCTCTCATCATAACTCTTTAGCCTACATTCTGAGAGAGATAGTTCTCAAGTTTGTGTTTGACAATTTTGCTTTTTTTCTGCTTTTGATAATGTTTTAAGTCACTGTAAACACAGGACATTTTCTGCATTGCTTTTTTATTCTACTTATTTTCCTCTTTGGTTTATCCTGTCTTTTTATTTCTCCTTCTTTCTTCACACCTATCAGTGTCATAGGTGCTGTGTTCTCTCAAATCTCACCATGAATATGAGAGAGATTTTTCTTTCTTTTTATTAAGTATGGATCTTTTTTTTTTAAGAATTACTAATTTTATTTATTGTCATTATTATTTAATTTGCTATAGGGCATGTACACTCACCAGGGAGAAAGAGGAAAAGAGAGAAAATTTGAGAAAGTGAACCATCAGGTCTGAGACTCAAACTGTGATCGGTTATGTGGGGGTCCAGTGCTGCAACTACCATATCACTTACTGGCCCCAAAAGAGGTTTTGTTTTTGTTTTTTAATTATTTTATTTAACTTTATTTATTATTATCATTATTATTTTCCAGTTTGATCAGAGAGAGAGAGAGGAAGTGAGAAAGCAAGCCACCAGGTCTAAGCCTTGAATTTTAATTATTTTATTTAACTTTATTTATTATTATCATTATTATTTTCCAGTTTGATCAGAGAGAGAGAGAGGAAGTGAGAAAGCAAGCCACCAGGTCTAAGATTTGAACCGTGGTTGGCCATGTGGGAGTCCAGCGCCTTTAACCACCATGCCACTTGCCGCCCTCCGCCCCCCAAGAGAGGTTTTTTTATAGTGTCATAGTATCTTTTTTTTTTTTAATTTTTTTTTGAGAGTTTTTTTTTTGCTATAGGGCGCGTGCGCTTGCCAGACAGACAGAGAGAGACAGAGAGACAGAAAGCGAGAAATCACCCCCCAGGGGAGATGGTCATGCCGCAATCCCTTCTCCTCCATTCTCCTCTCGGGATCTTGGGTACGCACGCACACGCGCCCGGCGTGAGTTTTAAGCCACCGGGGCTGGGACGCGAACCGCGGTTGACTACGTGGGAGTCCAGCGACATAGCCATTACGCTAACTGCTGGTTCCCGTGTCATAGTATCTTTTAAAAATAATTCTTAAGGGTCAGCAGGTGACATAGTAGTTGGGGTACTGGACTCCCATATGGAAAACTATGTTCAAGTTCCAGACCTGGAGGCTTGCTTTCTCACTTTCTTTCTCTCTCTCTGGCGAGTGCACATGCCCCATAATAATTTTTAAAAATAAACAAATAAAATTAAATAATTATTTAAAAGAAAGATAATTTCCAAAGTTGAAATTTTTCAACATCTTCCAGAAACATTTCCCTGTGCTTTCTCTCTCTCACTCTATGAACATACACTCATATATAACCACAAACACATTCATATTCACACATAGAGTTTATTTACTTCTTCCACAAGGTAGAGACAGCATCCCAACGCAATGCCCCAGCCCACCCCAAGCCTTACCCAGCCCAGATCATGAGCATAGGCCCAGAGTGCACAAGGCCCCAGGACTCAAACCTGGGACCTTGCCATATGGGTCCAGCACTGCAGAATGTCACACTACTGCTGTGCCGCTGTCTGGCCTTATCCCTGTCTGTTTTCTGAAGGATGTTGGTATATAAACGCTGAATTGATTTTTTTTTTCTTACTTAACTGGAACTGGAAAGGGACGGACAAAGATACAGGAGTTTGTCCCTGTTGGTACACCTGGGTGCAAGCACCTCTGCAGATTTACCTACAACTGATTGGTAGGTTGATGTCCATTCTTCCAGGTCCATTTCCCAGAATGGAGTTGGCAGCTGATATTGCAAGATTGCCAGGATAAGAGCCTCCTTACTTTAGCGTATATACTGTGAATAAATAGGGTGGGACACAGAAATAGTACTCCTCCCTGGGTACATGGGCCCTTCCTATTACCAACACCACTCCAATCCTTGCCTTTGACTGTCAGGTCACTGAGCATTTCCTATATGTTCACCAACTTGACAAACAGGATAAAAACCAGCATCATTCAAACAAATTCTTTATTCTATCCATTTAAGGATTTGTAGAAGTTATTACAGAAGTGAACACTGAAATAAAAAATGTATTTTCATAGCTGTAGCTCTTATAAAAAAGTTGATATCTACATGACCCTGATTTAAAAGATTCAGGGTATTTCCATTACTCAGAATCCATGAGGAAAGTTTCGAAGTCCAGATCCAAGTCAGAAACGAGAGCACTGACAAAGTCATCGATGGAAGGGTGCTTCTGAAGCATACCTGCAACAAAAGAAGGGTTAGCCACCACAACTACCGGTAGGCAATAAGGAGGGGCAGAGACAGACTCAAATCTATATATTAGGAGAACATTCAGGCTTCTGAAGTAATATTTTTATTCTATAACCTGACAATGAGGACATTTCATTAAATCATGGCGAGTATGTGACCCCTCAAGCTATCTGTGATTTTAGTGTACTTTTATTTTCTAGAGATTAAGGCCCAAATACATTTCCCAAGAGGTTTTATTTCTATATATATTGCCATATATTGATACTTGGAGTGAGATTAGAAAATTGTGTTTTCAGGACCAGCAGATGGCATAATGGTTGAGTCACTGGACTCCCATGTAGTTGACTGTGGTCTGAGTACCAGATCCAGTGGCTTAAAACTCATGCCAGGCACACGCGTGTGTGGCCAAGATCCCAAAAGAAGAATGGAGGAGAAGGGAGTGGCATGGCCATCCCCCCCAGGGGATGATCTCTCACTTTCTGTCTCCTCGTATCTCTCTTTTTCTCTCTGGTGAGCACACGCATGCTATAGCAAAAATCTCTCTTAAAAGAAAGAAAAAAAGAAAGAAAAAAAAAGAAAACTGTGTCTTCTTTAGTTACTGGGGTCAAAGAAAAAAAAAGAAAACTGTGTCTTCTTTAATAATTGGGCTGTGAGATGATTCAGAATGTAAGTTTAATTACTTACCAAGTTTCATTATCAAGTTCTATACAGTTCAAAATCAATCAAGTGTTTGTTTTTTTTTTTTTGGTTTGTTTGTTTGTTTTTTCAGAAAGCTTGTATCAGAAACTGGTTCCTCAAGATTTCCCTGTCTTAAGATAATTCTTAGCTTTTCAAGTTACTAATTTATAATGCAGAAGTCACTTGAAATCTATTATGCAAGTGTCCTCATCTAATATATAAGGTTGCTATAAAGATTAAAAAAAAAGTGTAGTATTAATGGAAAGCAATGAGGTACTGTGTCCAGAATATATTAAGAATTCAGTGAAAAGCTGAATTGATCTCCTTACTTCCCTCCAACATCAAAGACAAAATTCAAGTGCTCAGCCTTGTTGCTTTAACCTATATTCTTGGCAGGAAATACTAATTCAAGGGTTGAACAGATTCTATACACTGACATTTGATTTGGGTGGCGGATCTTGTGAAACTACTTTTAATATTAAGCCAATAAAAGATTTCCAAAATCCTCTGCTATTTTCTAAATCTTTAGTGTATTACATTTCAGCCAACATGCATGAATCATTTGCTGTGTGTAAAGGATGAGGGTAGGTCATGAGCAAACAGAGACAATCAGGATAAGTGACAATATGAGGGTTATGAGGACCCAATCAGTAAAAATAAACTGTATGGAATTAGATGTCCATATGGGGAAAAACCCACTAACCTTGACTTCTACCTCTTATCATACATAGAAACTAATTTGATATAGCCATGCACATAATTGTAAGAGCTAAAATTATGAAGGATTTAGAAAAACAAAACATGGGGTCAACAGGTGTCTTAGTGGTTAAGGCGCTGGATTCCCACATGGTTAACCACACTTTGAGTCCTGGACTCAGTGGCTTGAAATTCATCTGGGCACCTGTGCATGCATGCCCAAAATCTTGAGAGGCAAATGGAGCAGAAGGGACTGCGGTGTGGCCATTCCCCTGGCAGGGTGTGTGTGTGTGTGTGTGTGTGCGTGTGTGTGCGTGTGTGTGTGTGTGTGTGTGTGTGATTTCTCACTTTCTGTCTCCCTGTCTCTCTGGCAAGAAGAAGTACCCTATAGCAAAAATCTCTCTCAAAAAAAGAAAGAAAAATGAAACACAGTATCTTGTGGTTTTTGAGGTAGGGA